ACTAGTACGGCAACTGAATGTACCTATAAATATCCCGGAAAACCTCCTGAAGGAATTGTTACTCAGATGCACTTTAAACGTGCAATTCACCTTCAACGGGGAGATGTATCGTCAAATTGATGGAGTTGCCATGGGCTCACCATTGGGACCCTTTCTAGCAGATGTCTTTATGGCAGAATTGGAGCATAACGTATTAAGAACGCACATCAACGAGGTCGAGATGTATATACGTTATGTAGACGATACATTTATACTCCGCAAATTGAAAGCGCAGACTATGAAACTGTTGGAAGCTTTTAGTGATGCGCATCAGAAGTTACATTTCACATGTGAGCACGAATCCAGAAACCGACTACCGTTTCTGGATGTTGTTATCATCAGAAACGCCGATGGATCATGCAGCAGAGAGGTGTATAGAAAACCAACTTGGACTGGACAGTACATCAACTTCTATAGTGCGGTACCCATACAGTACAAACGAAACCTAGTCCGCACTCTTTCGTTCCGGGCACATAGAATTTGCACCCCGGACACAATCACCAAGGAATTGCAGAGAATCGGCGACGCGCTAAGAGAGAATGGGTATCCAGATAAATTCATCCTCAAACATTTGAAAGAACGCAAGATAAAACCACCGAGGATGAACGTACCCAAAGAAGAACTAATTGTGCATATCCCTTTCAAAGGCGACAGTGCGGCTGATGCTCTGTCCAAGCGCCTGAGAGACGCTGTTGAAAAGACCTACTTCGCGGCTCGCCTACGTATAGTATTTTACAACAAGCCTTTATTCGCAAAACCTTTGAAAGACAGGCTGCCTCCGGTGACTCGATCAATACTTGTTTATCTTTACTCGTGCTCCTGTGGGGCACGATATGTGGGCCGTACCACGAGGCGCCTATCTCAAAGGATTCGCGAACACCTCCCAGTGGTTTTACAAAGGCGAAGCGAGGTCCAGCAACAGTTCCATCTTATCCCACCTACTAGAGTGCAGTCATGCAGGGACGGAAAATGATTTTAGAGTCATTTATGCTGTTCCTGAACGTTTCACGCGCGGATTCCGGATGCATCCTGTCTATTGCGGAAGCTATCTACATCCGTCACCTCAAGCCAGAATTGTGCGTACAAAAACAGTTTGTACGTCCTCTGCTTCTACCGTGGCCTACAACTTCGGCTATGATTTCCCCTGTACATACTTGCCACTCCCAATGACCCCGTGATTTATTGATCTGTACCCGTGGAATTAAACATTCTGTTCAATACGCAGCCCAATCCGGCACATTTAGCACTTTTCCTCATCATGTAATGTTTGAGTCTGAGGAGAATTGCCGAAAAGAATTCTTTACTCAGATTCTGCCTCCCTTGATTCATGTTAATAAATGGGAATTTTTGGATTGCTGAGGACCAGCATTCCCCGTGATTCAGTCAACCATGTGATCCAAAGAAACATGGTTATTACACTTGAAAGTGGTTTCAGTGTGGTGCGGGCTCGGTAGTGGAAAAGTGATCGCAAACTAAGTGTTAATAGCCGATGATACCCATCCGTGCCACCAGGATAAATCATACACGTGTAAAGGTAAGGACCTAACAATGAGCTTAGGTGAAATAGGTAGTCTCGAATTCGAGCGGCTTGAGCAGCCCGAGAACGTATGCATTACGCAAGAGCACAATAAGGCCCACTCCGAATTAGGACATGTGCCTCATGTCAAACGACAATCGCACAGTAATGCGCGTCGCCCATAGTCGATAGAATTATCGGCAACTTAGCCCCAATTTGTCGCTTATTTAGGTGGACGCCAGACGAACATATCCACTGCAGAGCAGTGCTTCTGACGCAAAAGTTAGGCATCCAGCTAGATAGACCAAACCACAAGAGGTCGATATCAACTTCAAACGCATCTCAGATGTCGCCTAGATTCCGATGAGGGACCCAATGGACATTCACGTCACTTACAGTGGTAACGATAGCAACATTATTAGCTCAACAGATGAAGAGGAGAGCTGAAGGTGGATTTGGGCATAATCGGTCGTCGAATCACGACCAAAGGGGAAGGCACAGTAACAATGAATACAAGGGCCCTCAGCTAGTGCTGACGTTTAACTTCGATGGAAATCGGGGTCGATCCAGAAGTATGCAGCTGGGCCATAGAATACAATGAGGCCTTACTCTTGAAAACAGATTCAGAAACATCAGCAGCACAGATTATGAATCCATGGATGCTACACTGGTGCCGGAACTGGATAGCAGAGAAGTGAAAAGTATAGGAAACAGTCAAAGGGACAGATGGGATCATACTCCGTGACTGACCACTCAGAAAGATGCGTTTTGCTCGAGGTTTTCCATCTTTAGCCTTGGTTCGAAGCGTAGCCCACAAAACGATAGGTTAAACTGGCGAATAACTAGTTCGGTGGCTTACTGAACTGAGCAACTGGATAGCAGACGTTTCGTCATAATCGAAGTGAGATCATCGGTGTAAGGGAGATAGTGGTTTCGTATAAGATTCAGAGAGAAAGCGAATGCGTGGATGTACTTTACTAGACACTACTCAGTTCCTCATATAGAAGTCTGCTGTCCATAATGTAACTGTATTCTGGTTGGTTAATCGTGGTATCGTACTTTGGTGGTTGCCATTAGCCAGGGATGTTACTGTGATGTGGCTGGGATAAAACCAATTCGATTGGTGAGGTAAGTGCAAAGTGATCATTTTGCGTTAAGGTTGGATGTTCTTTTCATTTTCGTGCAGCGGATTGCATTCTGTCGAATTGTGGTTGTCACTTCGTCTGAGATCTTTCTGTCCCAGCAGTTAGTAGACTGGATAGATGTCGACAGGCATGTTGATCGAATTCTCTGTGGAGAACACAACTTCGAGGAACTTCGTTTTTTAATCTTTCTTGAGTAAAGATATCTGTTTGTGTCAATTAAAGCCATATCCATCTGCTTTCACGTGCGATGATATCAATGACGCTGCGTAGCGCTTCTCGCATGTTCCTTTGTGCTCCTGTGTCCTTGTTGTTAATCTCTCCCGCTTTTAACAATTTACAATGTATACGACATTTTGCCGCTATTGCGCTCATCGTTCCCTCAACAGTCGTTAAAGTGTAATACTCAACATGGTTGTTTGTTTGTGGGCTACTATGATGCGGTGCTGTGTTAACAGTCTGGCCGTCATTTCAGATATGCTCTCCACATACGGTAGAATAAACCGCTCCTTCGTTGTTGGCATAGACTCTGTGTTCGTGGCTTGAATATTTTCGCATTAGACTGCGTGGATATCCACGACGACTTAACGTGGTGTATCAAGATTGAAATTAGATGTTTCTCTATGCTATGGCGCGTGATGAGAAGTAGTGGCAACTGTGAACCGATGGAAAGGAACAAAGGAGTGCATCGTTATGTAAGTGTCCCGATTAAGTTATCAAGCAGCTATGAAGTGACGCATGTTCTGCGGACTTGTGAGCACAGCAGCGAAATAAACCAAGGATGAGTTAAAACAGACGAAGCTCCTGCGGTCGTGTCAGCAGGGGCAACTGGATGATGCGCCTTCAAGCTGCTCACTGTGGCAGAGTTAGACAACTGGAGAGATGATGGATGAACCAGGTAATCAATGAGTCGACCTTGGTGTAGACGATCAGTAGATAGAGCAGACACGTGTGTTCGCCTGCGCTACTTTACTTAATGGCTGGGGATCCCCGTCGCTTGTTTCCTTCTGAGAAAGGATGGATCAATGGAAGGAATCTATTCGGCACAAAAACGTCGTCGTTTATGGAAGCGGGTGGACAGCATACGTTGAAAAGTTCTATTGGTCAGATGCACTGTCACTTACGCTGATACGCCTTTTTAAAAACATCATTCGTCTAATAAAAAATGTAAATGTATCAGCTGTAAGCCGTAACGGCGCTTCGCTGCCGCGCGACCACCATCAGTCGCGCGCGGGCTGAGTATACCGCGAGGACGCCCACCCCTACGCGGATTATTGGTCTAATATGTCGCTCGTCTCATTTATACATCCCACATAACTGAAATCTAACCCATCTATCGTGGTTAAACGGTTTGTCCTTACGTTATCAATGAGGATGGAAGCAATAAGCGAAGCCCACGAGGTCGCGCCAAACTGTCCGCGTGCGGCAACTCAAAGCGAAGGATGCGGATCGATGTCAGTTCAGACTGCCCCGAGGAAGGAAAATATGCACAGCAGCTTACCGAAAATTATATGCGAATGGTAACCACGTTACCGAAAGAAACGCGCAAAGAATCATATCCGAAAATGACTCTAGGTAGATGGCATTTAAAATCCAAACAAACCAAATAACAATAAACCTTTGATTCGCGGTAGGCATCGTTTCGTGACACACAAGGTGATTCGGGTTGAGCATTGGGTAGCTTAGTAATCCGGTCAGAAGCGGGGGATAGCAGGCAAATTTGTAACCAAAAAGATGAATTTTCGTATGCTACATACCACACACAGGGCTAATTAGCTGAGGGACGCCATACGCTCAGGAAGAGCTAACTGCAACAAGAAATCGTGTAATTAAGCGACACATTATCTCACGAATTCTGTAAGACAAGGACATCAAGTCGGAGGAAAAAATGGTAACGGTGTTGAGGGAAATAACTTGAATCCGCCTGGCATAAAAAACAATTCTTACACACCACATAGGACACTGGACACATTGGAGATCATAATAAGAGACGAATTGAGATATGGAAGCAAATAAGCAGAAAGAGTGAGGCTGAGTTCTGGTGTAAAATTGTAGGCTAATGAGCATAGGGTCTAGTAGAGTCAACAAAGAACCACCTTTACAGGTGAAATTTCAACCACACTTATTAATCTGTGACCACCAGAGGTAGGCGCAATGTTACAATGCAAAATTTACGGCATCTTGTGGCATTGCCCGAAAGGATACTCACGAGCAGCTCGAAGTACTCATAAGCCGGATGAGTTGGACGCATGCTGCGATCAAATCGACAAAACTAGTGGCCCAAACAAGACAAGACCAAACATCCTCTGGTGGAGCTTTACTACCGAGTAGCAACGATTCAAAACGAGTTAGACCGAAAACGAAAAAAAGGAATCAAAGAGCAACGCATCGCGGTTCAGAGAAATGGCAACTAGAAATAACGTAAGGCAGGCATCGTGCAAATGTAAGGCAAGTAAAATGAGATAACCACCTGCGGCGCCATAAGAGGAAATAAAAGACACCCACAGCGATCAGAAAGTGTGGCAAAAACAAAAAATATTAGAAGACAAAAGCTACGTCACAGAAGTTGCCTACAGATCAAATTTCCAATCATTACAAACATACAAAATAAGCCCTTTGGGTTTCTTAACAAAAGTCGAGTGCAACGGCGGGCTATAGAGTTGTGAAAAACTACTTCGCATTCACGCATACTGGCGTAAAATGCAAGAGGCGCATTCTGTCACACGTACTTCAGTGGCAAAGGGCCGTTTACAAAGCACCGTCCTAGGAAGTAATCGGGAACGAGTACTTAGGCGTTAAAATGCGCAGCAAGCAGTGCCGATGAAGAATAACAGATAAAAACTTTGGGGATAGGATAACAAGTAGCAAAGTATCATAAGACGATCGAACAGTGTCCTGAGGAGGAATACAATATGGTGATCATAATCATGTGATAAGCGCACAAGGGTTGATTTGCCAAATAATTCATAAAACGAGGCCAGGGATGCAGCGGACCGGCAATCGGTATGTCAACATTAGATGTCCCCTCACCGATCACAAAGCACATAAAAAGTTGTGTAGCTACAAACAGCTCTTTATGAGTGATGTGGTCAAAATAGTTGTTTGTCAGGAGGCGCGTGGTGATTTTTAACATTTGTACAAAGTATGGGTGATATCGGTACAAAAATGTTGATGAGAAGTGTAAGTGGAAGGTGCTGAACCATTTCAATTGGTCTGTAATATGAAAAGCAATCACAGCTGGGTTGAAGATATCACGAATATGAGGAGAAAGGATGAAAAGATGCATTTGAGGTTGCGTTGACAACGCTCCTAAGAAGAAAGAAGGACGAAACCGGGAATATTAGGAACCAGCAGTGAGGAATTGAAAACACTCTGTGCACACTCGAACGGGCTTCGAAGTCGCCAAACCTTCCACAGTCTGCCAATTGTTACAGCAATAGGCACAAAAGATGTGTCCACAACGGCGGCAATGGTGACGACGTCGGAACAGCGTGAACGGTTGAAGGCAAATGGCACACTGGCGCCCGACCACGAACACATTTGTCTGATCTAACTCATTGTCATCGTCGGTATCCGGGTCATGATCACTTTCCGTGTCGCAGCCTGCTGATTTATCCTCAATAAGTCCATCAGGTAGCCGATCCGGCTGCCATGCTGGTAGGTAATGGAGTAGTTGATCGCTTCGATTTTGCATGCCTTCTACAGAAACGCCAAGAGTTAGTTTGCCAAGACGCTGGTTCATATGCTCTGAATAAGGTCGAACAGATGAGGAAATTGAGTAGGTGACAAAAACAGATATAAGATGAATTGAAGGGGAGGTATATATCTTCAGCAGTATTTAGACGGCAGCAACGTCGTCATACAGATACAAGCATACAACGGAAGCGTCGCCAATACATGGAGATGCAAGTCGATTAAATGTGTAAGCGGGGTAAGTTTAGGTCCTTAACCAGCTACTGGTTGTCATAACTTATGAATTTACTAAATAAAGCAAGTGGAACAGCAAAGGTGCTGACGATGGATAGAGTCCAACGACAAGAGGCCAGTATGCAAGAAACAGAGTAACCACCCGTTTTCAACGAGACCTCCCATGAAGGGTTGGGTCACAACTTATAGGTGGTGTGTTCATTTCTCGAGGCAATGTGTAAGATGGAACACTAAAATGGTGAACGGACGGCTAAAACATGTAACTGAGGGAGCAGAACAGTCGATCAGCTCGGCAAAACAGTCCGTAGCAAAACTCAAAACCATAACTATTGAACGGGACGAAATCCTGGTAAGTTTTTAAGTAACGGCGTTGCTAACATCAATCGATATCAACTTGGTGAAACAAAGAATTGCTGTCCTACTGGAGCAACACATATCGTCGGAAGCAAGCAATAAAATCGTCTCCAAACAAATGGTGGAGTTGCTCGAATTCCGTCTGGCAACACATGCCACTTTCAACTGCCAAATTAACAAGTAGATAAGAGACACATCAATGCTCTCGCCGATCTCCATTCTGGATGTAAATCGAACTGCAATATAGCAGCTTACTGCACGGGTAATAACCTACATGACAGTGGAATGTGGGTCGGGCTATAGCCCAATTAGATCTCAATCCAGTGTAGTCAGCTATCGCACATTGGTATAATAGCACAAGGAGTTAGCTAGTGGTGCAAGCCATTAGAGATTATAAGTTCGGTGCACCGAAGGGGACCGAGGGAATACGCACCACGACGAACCACAACGGGGCGAGACGATCGGCTGATGCTTTTCTGGAATAGTAATGGACTCATCTGGCTTGTAATCTAATTGCAGTGAACTGAATAGATCTCACCAAATCCAGTAAGTCATAAGCAACACACTACGTGCCAACAATCTTTGTTATCGCTAATCTGATTTGCGAGTTCACGGCTCCACCTGCGATTCCGGTTGGGTCGAAAACCATGGAGTTCCACAAGTGCACCACCTTCGACCCCGATTTTCATTCCTTCTGGTGCAAGTCAATGTAGGGACATTCACGCAGATTGGAAAGCACCTTGGAGTCCTTCGATATGTATGTCTGCTGCTTTTCCGAAACCCAGTTGCAGGACCGCAACACTGTGCTCGCGCTGACATCCCCCACTAATCACGGAGCCACATATCACCTGCGTCTTTCTGATGCAATTATGGTAGCAAGTGTCAAGGCCAAGATCACACTGCTGAACTGATTCTCGCTTAACAGCCGACTATGTGCAGTTCGGCTTCGGGGATCACGCAGGATCAACAGGCATCAAGAGGACAGACGCAACCCGTTTATACTCTCAGCGTACGCACTAAATGACTGCAGCAGTGACTCATTCAAGGGAGGTTTTTATCGAGAGCTTCATCAGCTCTTAAGCGGTTAACAAATCGGATGCCTTTATCCTGGATGGGGATTTCAATGCGCATGTTGGTCGCCTGTTACTATACGAACGTCAACTTGGGGCTCACCACGCGCTCGATAAGGACCGCTCAGATAGAGTAGAGTTCTCACATCCGTTTCGCTCGCGCACCTAGTTCAAGCATAAGAAAAACGTTCTACAACATGGCGTTTCCTTTCGCTAACACAAGCGTGGTCTCAGATAAATCACATAGCAATCGGCTTGAGGTGGCGGGGAAAGGTACGGGACTGCAGGTCATCGTAGCCCACCTTCAATGACTCAGATCATGCTCTAGTCTGTGCGAAAATCTTCATGTCTTTTTTTTGGGGGGGGGGGGTTCCAAAACAAAATACTGCAAGATTGATGAGAACAGATTGGCTGATTCATCAGTAAGGCGAATAATCAGCCTGCACTGGTAAAACAAACCGTCTCAAGATAGGGCTACACTGGACCTCCGGAAAGTCGACGTCCCTTAAAGGCTTGAATCGCTGCTCACTCCGCCGCAGAGAAATCTCGATAGAATCAGATCCCAATGAGCGGTGCTGCTTTGCCAACCTACAGCTAAAGTAACGGCTGTGCAAGGATCGTGAGGCCTGGTGGTCTCCGTATATTACGGAGATGAAGACGGTTGGTCTCTAGCAATAGTCGTAAGATTTTTAAACTAATTCGGTCCACTGGCTTCAGAAAGTCTATAGTCAGTGAGGTTATTCCCAAGGCGAGTGGAGCCCCGGTCATCAATAAGTAGAGGCCCTTGAACCGCTAGAACAAGCACTCTCATTCGCAGTTCAACTGAACTCTACCGTCTATCAGTGTGCAAAGCACACTTTGTTGTCCACTGTAGCTCTTCCCACCGAATCTACCCAGCAAAGCGGAAGTCAGCCTCGAGATTCGACGCTTGTAGTGATTCAAGGCTGCCGGCTCAGACGGACTTCCTCCAGAGCTGTTCAGGTACGGGAACGTGGCCTCGTCTTTTGCCAGTATGTTTGTCAGTATGCGGCACTTGTGGCGTCGTCTTGAAGTTAGTATCTCGATTACGGACCGTGTTTACAATGCCTTCGTTCGTGCAGTATTGTTGTATGGGACCGAGTCCTACCAATTCGCGTGCAGGACAGGCGTCGTCTTTCGGCGTTCAACGTTTGTTTGAGGAGAAGCGCTCGTGGGTGGTGGCAAGGCCCAGTTCACACTTATGAAGTTAAACGTCGCGTCATGAGGAATGCAAGTGTTCCCTTAGACAAGTATCAAAACCCGCTACTTTGCGTTAAGGCTTTGGAACCAAAGGCTTTGGTTGCGAACCCCAATCGTTCGTCTGTCTAGGTCTGGACAACTTGACAGCATCTTGCACACACAGTAAAATGAATCTCTCATTAAACAATTTATTGATGCTCTGGCTGTCGCAGAGTATAATTAACGGCACCCTACCTGCAGCATAGAGTAGGGCAGATAGGGGGAGTTGGAGGCTATTGCTCAAGCCTTCATGTCTTCTTCTCTCTCGCGCGCGTTCCGTACCAACTTCACTTCCCTACTCTATTCAAACCTCGATTTCTTGGCACACCCCATTTGGGTCCGTAATTAGTGGCAGGGCCTTCGAAGTTGGTCGTGCTCTTTTGTTCCATCTGCAAAATTACACGCTCAAGCCTTCGGAAATTTTTGCATTTGTTTTTCTACCCAATCCATACAAGCTTCAAGACCATGATGACATATACTCGCAATTTGTTAAAATCCCTATGTGTTTCTACTCGACTGAACGTCACGGTTAAGCTGTAAAAAATAAACTGAAGCGGGTCTACAAGAAGCATAATAATTCTACTAAAAGGTATCGTGTTGGATGGAGGGTTGCTCTGCGGAAGAAAACACTGCGGAGTATGAGTATGCCCATTATAATAAGTTCAAATGTCCGATCAGTTAGGAGTAAAATGGATGAGGATAGAAGCAAAATTCGCTTTCGTGAATACTCGAAGCTTGGCGTAATTATGCTTCAAGAGAAGTGACTCAATGAAGACGTTGATGATGAGGTTGTAGCGATTGAGAGATTCATATGCCATCGTGTCGACCGGTCAACTGCATACATCAACCGCGGCGGAGGTGCTATCACATTTGTCAATCCTGAGTGGTGCATGTCAAGAAAGAGTTGGTTTCGCCTTTCATCTCCACGTAGTAACTGCTTGATTTTTAAATGTAAACCAAGATGTTTAATTGGCTACCAATCGATGTTGTTTGCAAATATTTATATTGCCCCCAGCTATCTCGCCTCTAAGGCGAAGAAATTTCACGATTAGTTCACTTCAAGCGTCATGGACCACATTGATTCTTCTTTTTGCATATTTTTCGGTGACTGCAACAGATTTGACACCACTTTTCTCACAGACTTTAGGCTGCAAAACGTTGTAAACGCCAGACTTGAAGAAAGTATACACCTTGTATTTGTTAGCAATATGAATCTGTTTATGTGCGTACTCAGGCACCAATTGCTAGTTCTGACCACTCAAATATCAAGTTATCTCCTATCGTGCACAGCAAAGTAAATCATAGGGATATTACTCATTGCAAAGATCACAGACTTATAAGAAAACAACATTCACCCGAGAACATATATCGACTCCAGGAAATGAGTTCATACACAATGTTAGTAAACTTTTGACACTGAGCTATCTAAATACTGCGACAAGTTAATGAGCTTCATCAACTTATGCTTTGATACCTGCTGTCCATTGGAAACCATTTTCATCCGTGCGGATCGGGTTTCATCTCCAGACCTAAAAACGCTTGTGTAGACTTAAAGAGAAAGCGTTCAAAACGAAAGACCACGCTGCAGTGAAATCTTTTTCTATTTCTATCAGAACTGAGTGCACCGTCTAAAACATCTATAAATCCAGACCATACTGGGAAACAGTAGCTGCCGGGATGTCTGGCGTATGCTGAAACAACTTAGTGAAGTCTCTAACCGAGTGTCAAATCCAGATGTAGACCTGAAAGAAGTGAACCGAAAGTTCGGTTGCTTCAATGCTAACTACCTCTCACCCTTCTTCCCCACGATTGGATCGGCCCACAACCTCCATACCTGCCATTGACAGAAAAACTACAAGAAAGCAAGGGGTGCGCGCGGACTAGCCCTCGCTGTCCCAAAAGTGTGTGCCGACTCTTTGGATCAGCCTCATGCTGACCTATGCACGTTCTACATGAAAGTGTACTATTACTGACGGCTGGAGAAGTGCCAGAATTACAACGGTGCCAAAGAAAGGCCCAGATAAATACCGACCAGCACCTCGGAAAACGTGAAGATATTCGAGAAGATTATTGGTGAAAAGTTGCTGAATCAAATTTATTCAGATGATCCGCTACAGCTTGCTTATCGTCGTTTGAGGTCTACTCAAGATGCATTAGCCTATCTTGCACATTCAGTGCTGTCGGCACTAGACAACAAGGTCAACACCGTACGCATGTGTTTTCTCGGTTATAGTAATGCTTTCGGCAGTGTAAACCGTGAGCTGCTTTTGTGAGACCTGCACGATGACGGAATTCAACTCTCTACTGTCCAGCTTTTGAGAGACTACTTCATCGGACGTGCCCAGTTTACTAGAAGGCAAACTTCCTCGCCGCTCACAACAGACACTGGAGTTCTTCAAGGGGCCATACTATTTTAATATCACTTTTCCACCTACATCGCCTATTTACCTACCCCTGCCGAAGCGGTATTAATGAAATATGCAGACGACATAGTATAGAGTATGCAACAAGCGAGCGCAGCTTCATCAACTAAATTACAAACCTATAAGGGCAATTTTGTAGCATGGTCCAGAACTTACCTTTTATCACTGAATGCATCAAAATGCAATAACGTCATTTTCTCCCAACATAAAGGCCATAGTTAACAATAACTTCTCATGGAATACACCGAACTACACATAGATGGCGAGAATTCGCACTCCAAAATCAGCAAAGTACCTAGGTGTAACACTCAGTTATAAAGTTTCCTGGTCATCCCATACTAATGATTTTTTACAAAGGTGTGGAGGCCTTCGTCCTAGGCCCTACATTTGCGATCCTACTCTGTCCCCCGACACTTAACTGACATGTATCACCGCATGTACCTTACCGATTTAGACCAATTGCTCCAATGTGACATTTCCTGGTTTCCTAAGGAAGCGCTTCAAAATTATAGGTACGTCACAGATGCAATTATCTAGACGAGTGGAATTCTCAAACAGACATTTGTTGAGATTCTTATGTCCACTCATCGAAATTCATGCATAAGACTTGCTTCGATAATACTTACTTAAACAAGTCACCAACTTCATGGTGCAATGCAGAGCATGTAGCAACATTCACAACCAGATAAAAGTACAGATTAAGCTGGACAAGTGCCCATTAATGAGCTTCATTTTGCGAGTTAACACGATGTAGGCTATAGTAATGATAACGGTGAGCGGTTGCTACAACTGTGTGAAGATGCTCGTCTCTTTATTGCGAGCACTAACTTCCGCCGGAGGGTGACATGGCGCCCGAAACCCTCGGAGCAGCCATGGACGCAAATCGATCACATCAGCTACCGTTGAAGTGGATGCGTTCAAAACTGTCGCTCGATTTGGAGCACAAGCGTGGACTCTGAACCCGCACTTGCTTGTGCTCACCTCCGGGTGCGTTTCGGTGGACGTCTGCAACGGTGATGTAAGTGTATAGGTACATGCAAACTGACAAAGCCAGGTGTTCGGCAAGCATATAAAAGGACGCTAGCATCTGACCTGAGTAAAGGCTTAAGCAACACAGCGGATGATCACTGGTCGCACATCGGCCAGATGTTAGTAGCAGCACGCATGTCCATATGTAGGAAATCAACTTGCCAATCACAAAATTGGGTCACTGTGCAGTCTCTGGAACTTTTAGATGCTCGCCGACATGTTCCCGCTAGAAGCGCATACATTGAGACTCACAAAGATCTCAGGATGAAAATGCGTGCTAGCCTAAAGAGAGACCGCGAAGCCTGGTGGTCTCATCGTGCATAAAGAGATGGTGACGACCGCTACACTTGGTAACAATCAGGCGTTATTCCGTTTAATACGAGAAACGGCACCAGGAAACCTGATGTTAACGACACTATATGTGACGAGAGTGGACAGCCGATCCACAGCTTGTCAAAGGACTTGCAGCGTTGGGCCGAACAAAATGAGAAGCAGTTTAATCATTCAACGTTGCCAGTTTCTTCATCCGCCAATGAGCATCCTACTCCCTGGGCCATCCACTTGGATCTGCCTCCGCGCGCAAAAATCCAACTTGAGATCAGACGGCTGAAATTGGATAAGGGCGCTGAAGAAAATGGACATCATCCAGCCCTCTACAAATTCGGAGACCCGCTCTTTTGGAAAATTTACAAAGCTGATTAGTCGGTATAGGGGAGCAGAAGACTGTCACAACCGACTGGAGCCGCTCCGTTATAGTCCCAGTTCTCAAGAAGGCTAAAGATCAGAATGCGGCAGTATGATCGCCGTTGCCTCTAAATTACTCGCCTCTACAGTACTCCGCAGACTGAAGGGGATTCGTGAAAGCCTAATGAGTGAGGAGCAGGCCGGGTTTCGTTGAAATCGAGGCTGTACTGACCACATCTTCACATTATGTCAGTAGTTGCAGCACCACCACGTGTATTGACGACCCAGCGGAGTCGAGTTCCTAGACATCATAGGGGCCTCTGATTCGGTGGTTCAGTGTGCGCTTTCGGACTGCCTACTGAGGAAAGGTGTGCGCGACAAATCAGTAAATGTCATAAGAACGCTGCGCGTAAATAGTTCGGACAGAGTGAGGGTTTACAGCAATCTTTCGCCGCCATTCAATATCTCCATTGGCGTGATACAAAATTGCCCGCGGTCACCTCTCCTCTTTAACTTCGCCATTGACGAAGTTACGGAAATGGCGTTCGCTGGGCCCAACTTACATGCGAAGATGCACCCAGGTGACCGACTTCTTGATTTGAAGCATGCTGACGACATTGCGCTGGATAAATTAGCTATTGCTGTCAGTGGTTTCGGACTATGCTTTACACCCTGGAAATGCGAGGTGCTTCCGCGAGATTGGCAGGGACCAACTCTTGCGCTGAACCTTGATGATAGTCGGCTAGAAGTCGTCCAGATATTTAAGTATCTGAAAAGCTATATTAGTGCTCGTCGGATTGATAAGGAGACCACGAAACGTATAGCAAAACCTCGATGCGCATTTGCCAACCTCCGCCACCTGTGGCGCCGGCGTGACATTACTCTCGTACTGTAGCGCAGAGTTTACAATGCACTCGTGCGTTCAACCCTCCCGTACGGTTGCGAAACATGACCCATCAACTCGACAGACTTAAAGAGGCTTGTTACGTTCGACCATCGCTGTTATCGCAGCTCGGCTCATGCCTGGTGCGAGCGCCGCGTGCGCAGGGAGCGGGTTCGGCGTCGCGTATTTGGTGCAGAAAGAGCGAGTGAGTCGCTCAGCACCGTCATATCAAGCACCAGAGTCCTATAGCTGAGCCACCTGTTGCGGATGCCAGCACACCGACTCCCGCGTCGGGTTGGGGACGGAATGACGATGAACACGTTTGGGTGGATACACTAGACGGCATGGCGAATAGTCGAACACAATGGTGTTTGTGTTGTAAGTCTTTTATTCCATTCCCTCTCCTTCAGCTTTTCCCTCCATCAACGATCAAAAGCTATGCTTAATGAGATAATCAGGATTATTTTTATAGCTCTTTTACTTTGTAGTGCTTAATGTCTTAATTTTTTTGTAATGCGGCACGTTAGTTGTGGTGTGTTTCACACTCTCGACTAACGTGTATTGATGATGATGATGGGATGTAGTGAAAGCGCCTGATCATTCATAACCAGGAACCAGTGACCCGTGTATTATAAACTAAACGTCTGAACAACTCCGTTATCGGTTAGGGAATAAATAAGAGAAGTTGTTGGATTTTGCGAGCATATTTCTTCTCCAGTTCGACTAAAGTCGAAAACTGTTGGTTAGAAGCCCTAAATCAGACGCGGTGTTGAACGTATGCAGAAGCAGTTAAACTCGCTGCGCTGTCGACTAGAGTGCGTAACATACAGTAACCCTCGTACTGCGGTATAGCTCACAGGCGGTGAGAGCTTTTGTGTCCTGATATACCTGGGGCTAACATGGGTTCCGAAAAAGATGGATGGGTACCAGATAGAAATGATTTAAGGATATATTCTAATCAAACAAGTTCGTCATGAATCAGGCGTCACGTTGGATGCAACAGGTCATTGTAGGACAGTGTGTGTAATGGGGATACCTCTCCACCGTTTGGGCAACATCGTGGTGAATAGGAAGAGTTTCCCATAAGAGGTTAGGCAGGGTTTAAGCTGTTTGGTACCGTGAAGCAGCTACAGGATGGTTAAATACCGGTAAATAAAAAAATCGCAATCGTACACTTGTCAAGAAGCATATTCTTTTCAAGCGTAATCCACTAGGGCAACGGTAACCTAATACTGCTTGTGGCAAGTAGGCTATTCGGAAAACGGACTTGGCGGAGATCCGGGAACCCTACTTCACCTACTGTAAAGATGAAGCACAAGTCACCGTGTGTAATGGATGGTTGGACTCGCACAAAGTTCCACATGTCGAATCAGACTCCACGATTAAGTAGTAGAAGTAAGCTTTCAAGGAGCGGTATTTGGAACCGAAAGTCAGTAAGCCTACTGACGACCACGAACAGCTGCCGCTTGTATCAGTAGTGGTGACGGAGTTCGGTCTGAGGAGTAGGCGATTGGTGACCTAAGGCCAGAGAAAATGCCCGGTCCAGAGTTCGCACCATCGAAAGTGGCGTTAAGGACGTAGCTGCTTTGCCACCTAACAAACTAAAGGTGAACAGCTCAAGAGAACATGTTAAATAAAGGAATTCTGAAGTTCCTGTTTTAGTGTGATTCTTAAACGGTCTTGGTAAAGTTATGGTGGGAGAAACATACAGCAGAGTTCCACTACACATTGTAGTCCGGTGGAAAGCGCAATCACTGGTGTTCAAGGCAACAAGGTCGAAAAAACTCACCCGCCCCTTCAGAATCACTCGTCTGACTGAGATAGTTGTACAGACAAGTTGCATCCTCTCCATATCCGGTTGGTGTGGCAAGTGGTGATAACATTGCAGCTACATCGAGACCAAATTCTAGAGTCACATCATCCACAGTTGGATCAAGGAGCACGCGGGGCGGTTTCCCCGCTACAGATAAGTTGACCGATTCGCTTTTCGGATCAAAACGAGAGCAACAAAACTTTAGCACGTCGGACATGCCCTCCTTAGAACGGCGTTTACCGACCACGTTGCACCAATCGAAAAGCTGAGCAATGGAAGTCAAGTGTTTGTCCGTCGATTGCTCGCTAACAGCCACTTCGCCGTCCAACTCTGTATCGGTCGATTCGCTGCTATCGGAAGAATGGTGATCGGGAATATGTGTGCCTTCCAGCTGAGCCATTGCAGCGTCAGAGTTGCTTGTATCATGCAATTCGAAACTTATCTATAGAGAGAGCAATAATGCAGTAATTTTCAACAAGCAGAAAAAGAGTTAAGAATGGCGAGAGATTATTGTGTCAAAAAAGAAAGATGAGAATGTAGTGAGCGGTTAAAGGATGAATGTGATGAGTGAATATAAAGAAATCAAAAGCGGTAGACAAACCCTTACCAGAGAAGTGCTTGCAAAACAAACGCATCAAAGAGGCAAACGATTTTACCTACCTTCATGTCATGTTGTAAAAATATTCAGAGGTAAGGATAGTCTTTAAAGAAATGGCGCTAGATATCCAAACTCTGCACGACTCCGATCCAAAGTCAACTCCTCTCCCGAAGATGTTGAAGACACCATAAAAGGATCGAAAATTTGGGTACCAATAGAAAACATATGGTGACATTTGGATAACTCGACAGAGCAAAAGCTGGAGGTGCCTTTGCCAATATCCATCAGCTATGACGCCGTCGCGATATCACTCTATCCGTAAAAGGCAGAGTTTATATTGCATCCGTCCGTTCAAGTATCCTGTACAGTTTTGGAACATGGCCCATCAGGTCGATATATATATATATATATATATATATATATATATATATATATATATATCCCTCCAGTAAGGCGCTGAGTCAACCGATGCCTAAACTTCGGAACGTGAGTCATCCAAACGTCACGCTTTCATACTTAGTAACTTAGCAAAAGGTCATGCCCCACAGGTGCAACGTTTTGAACAGGATTCCCATCATAACCAACAGCAGCACATCAGCCACTTGAACTGATGCTCCGTTGACGTACGACTTACCAGTAGCTTTCCGACTACAAGTGGCGTTCGGCAGGGTTGCCCGATTTTCCTCTTTTTGTTCAATTTCGTCGTGAATTTCATCATGGAGTGTTCCCTTACGGAATCTTACAACGTAGGCGTCGACGTCCTGCCTGGTGAAGGACTAGTGGATCTTGATTATGCGTGCTTCGTATTCTTGCTTTTTGACGATGTAAGTGGAGGCACAATCAACTCTTAACAGCCTTCCTAGAGAGGTCCCATTATATGGTATGCGCTTCGCACCTTCAAAGTGTTGCTGCAAGACTATCAGCCACTTGATTACCCCTTGTCGCTTGCTAACGAGGAACTCAAGGTGGTTGATCAATCCACTTACTTGGGCAGCTGCAGCAACAACGATGGGTGCATAAAAGCTGAAGTCAGTTCACGCATTGCTAAAGCCAGAACTTCCTTCTTGAACCTGCGGCATTCTGACGACAGAAGGGAGTTTCCATCCGTCTGAAACATCGTGTTTACAAGGCCACAGTGAGCGTCGCCCTCTGCTATGGAAGTGAGACTTGACCCATTCGGCCTAAAGATCTGAGGCGTCTTCAAATCTTCGATCATCGTTGTCTGTGAAGCGTTTCTGGCGTCGGGTGGCATCAGCGCGTCCGAAACGATGATGTGCGTAGGCGAGTACTAGACCGTGATAACCAAGCTAGCTCCTTAGAACAATGGATAGCACCAAATAAGTTGCGGTGCCTTGGGCACGTACTACCTATACCTGGTCTCCGCCTACTTAAGAGGGACAAGTTTGATCTGCCATGTATAGGGTGATGCAAGGCTCGAAGGGGACAAAAGTTGACTTGGCAGCGAGAAATGAAGTCACTGACGACCAATGGGTGCCGTTGGTCCATCTCGAATTTCGGGCTGGAGTCCACGTGACCCGCTTTACGCTTGGCTCGATACTTTACGGGACATGGCTCGCAGTGAACACCAGTGGCGCATCTGCTGCCGTCTCGTAGTGTGTGTGTTAGGTGCTGAGTCATCTGCGGTGTAATGCTGATTATGACGCGGGGCAGTGAGAGCCGCATGGAAGATGTCGCGATGATACACGCTATCTTTGCACAGTAACCAGATGTTGGGGACGATGTGAGTTAACACAAGGAATAGGCGACTTGATCTTGAATGTTTGCTTAGGGCATTAAGGTTTTACGGTAGGTCCCATTCTCGACTCTCATTATTCTTTTATGGCAGCGTAGCATCAGTTTAAATGGCTGGTGTTGATTAGTGATGATTGCCGTAAGACCATAGTGGTCTATAAGGAGAGAAGAGGGATCTAGCGTAGAAAATAATGCCCTAAGTAAACATTCAGGGTCAAGGCGCCTACACCTTGTGTCAACAACATACCGTCACAAACAGCTGGCTATCGTGCAAAGATAAGGCGGCATCGGCGAGACAGCTTCCTTGTGGCTTTCACTGCCACGCGTCATAATCAGCCATTACCCCGCAGATAACTCAGCACCAAACGAACAAAATTGACAGTCCGACTACGAGACGACAGCGTACGCACCACAGGTACCGACCGCGAGCCATGTCCTGTAACGTCTCGAGCCAAGCACAAGGTGTCATGTGGACTCCAAGCTGGAAGGAGAGACGGACGAAAAGCACCAAGTTGTGTAGTCTGTGATTTCATTTCTTTTTGCCAAGTTAACTTCTGCCCACCTCGAGCCTTGCGCCACCATACATCTGACAAAAAGAACAAGGATCTTCTCAGTAAGCGGGGACCAGCAACACGTAATACATGCCCAAGTCACACGCAGCTTATTCGGTTGTTCTAAGGAACCAGAATTATCATCATTCGCCGGCCCGTAGCCTAAAGGTTGCAAGGTTGTCTGGTAATCTGACGGCGCGGGTTCGAGCGTATGGCGACCGTCGCAGTATCCTTAGCCTACCTGGAACCGGAGATGGTTGCGCGGCAGCGAAGCGTCGGTACTGCGTATCGGCTTTTTTTACCAATCATCTACGCATATCATCGTTGTGGACACGTTGCTGCCATCCGACACCAGTAATGGTTCGCATACAACGATGATCAAAGACTTGAAGTCACCTCAGATTTTTAGACAGACTACGACAGCCCTCACTATGACCTCGCAAATACGGTCTTTCAAACCAAGGGAAGCCCATTTCTTACGCAACAAATGTCGCCGATTCAAGAAGGCCATTCCAGCTTTCGCAATACGTGAAGTGACTTCAATGGTTATGCGCCTATCGTTGCTGATGTAGTTGCTAAGATAAGTGAATTAACCATTACTGACGATGCCCAACAGGCTGAAACTGCAGTCTAGTACTTTTCCGGGCATGTGGACGACTATCTGATTTGGAAACTGGCTGCGAGGAATCTCACTGAATTAATTAACTACCTCGAGTTCCTCGTTGACAAGGGTCAATGGGTCATCAAGTGGCTGGTGGTCCTGCACCAAGCGCTTGCACTTTGAAAGTGCGAAGCGCATGCCAAATGGTGGGACCACTAGAGAGGCTATTCATCGTTACACAGCGAAACAATTAAGGTGATGATGAAACAAAAGAAAGTGACACAACATTGTTAGCAGGTAGCCTATCCATCAATAACGACTAGATGACAAGGTGAGGACCAGTATAAGTCAGCAAGACAATCGAAGAGCAAATGTCCATTAACAACGCGTTCGGATTCCATCACTAATATTGCCACGAAGAAAAAGGAAACGATTAAACAAATAATGGGCAGAAAACAGGTGAAATGATAAGAACAGTTTGAAAAAGTAGGGATTATGGAGAGGAATGACAGATAGCTTTGTTTAATTGTAAAATCGAGTTAGCATAATATGAATCACAACCAATGATCAAGTTGGTCGCGATGTTCTCATAGAAAAAGCAGACGGGCACCAACCGTCCCTTCACTCCCACGTAGTCGGTCATGCCTAGCGTATTGCCGTAGGCATGTGTATCAGAGGCCAACGATTGCTGTGTTCCTGGATATCCGTGCTGCCTTCGATTCTGTCGATCGTACAGTACTGTGGCAGTGCCTTCTGAGGAACGGTGTCCCCGAGAAGTTCGTCTCCATACTGCGCGCTCTGTACAGTCTGACCTCGGGCAGGGTTAGGGCTTATGGCATGCTTTCGCCTACCTTTGTGGTCTCCAGTGGAGTTCGACAAGGATGCCCTATCTCTCCGTTCCTATTCAACTTTGCCATTGAGGATGTCCTGAAGAACGCTCTGAGCGATTCGTTGAACGCTGGCGTTGAGCTCCTCCCAGGTAGTCGAGTTGTTGATTTGGATTATGCTGATGATATCGTCTTGCTAGGTGACGATCCACAGGTCGTCCAACTTGCATTAAACCGCTTGACGATTGAAGCATCAAAGTATGGTATGTGCTTTTCGCCATCCAAATGCAAGGCTCTCCTTCAAGACTGGCAGGTGCCTCTGCCTGCACTCACGCTTGCTGGTGAGACACTGGAGGTTGTGAAGAGCTTTGTCTACTTGGGAAGTTGCATCACTGCTGGCGGGGCTGTTGGAGACGAGATTTCGATGCGCATCTCGAAAGCACGCCTCGCTTTTTCTAGGCTGAGGCATTTGTGGCGTCGCCACGACATTCGTCTCTCCATCAAAGGGCGGGTCTATTGTGCAACTGTTCGTGCTGTACTGTTGTACGGATGCGAGACCTGGCCCATTCGTAAAGATGACTTGCGCAGGCTATCCGTCTTCGAGCACCGCTGTCTGCGGTCCATTGCCCGTGTGTGGTGGCAGCACCACGTAAGCAATGTGGAAGTTAGACAGCGTGTCTTGGGACGTGGAAGCCACTCGCTCGAGGAGCTCATCTCACTGCATCAACTGCGGTGGTTGGGACACGTATTGCGCATGCCTGTCCAGCGTTACCCCCGTCGTGCGTTGTTTGCACTTGCTGGACAGGGCTGGAAGAGACGGTCTGGTGGACAGCCTACAACATGGAGAAGCCGCATGAAAAAGTTGACGAAACAATTGGCCTCGGCCCGTTGTTGTCGACTACCTGGTTGGGGTCCGAGAGACGAGGATACTTGCTGGTTGAAAACCTTGGAAGTTATGGCTCAAGATCGATGTCAATGGCGGACGTGTGCATCAGTGTGTTGCGGTGTCCCTTCCTCCTCCCCCTAAAAACGAACAAACTGAAAAAAAATTTCAAAAACTGTGAGTGGTAAACTTGACAAAAAAAGCATTTCTTGTTGCTCTTTTCTTATTAT